ACTTTTCCTAAAAGTTAACCTAGAGTTATTTCCCTTTGCTGACTCTTTTGCACTGAAGACAAAAAATTAAACTGGTGTTATTTCCCTTTGTTGACTCTCCTGTATTGAAGTCTAAAGAAGTTTATAACAACATGTGGCAAAAACAGACGCCAGAAAAATAAACAGGAAACTATAACAGAAAAATTATGTGTTTTTCAACTTTTTAAAACGGAATTCAGGTGTGAATGACAAAGTAAGTCATCAAAAGAGGGACACACTGCTTTCTCAGCATTCAACTTGATAATGATGTACAGGTCTTTATTAATAATAGATTTTTAAAGTCAAATTCACTTTGCGAAATATTGAAACAAATTTTATGAAGTCTGACTTGCATTCCCATTGGGATTCCATGTACTCTCTAAAACCCATGAGAAAAATGCAAAATGCAATCGGAGGAATACAACAAGCAGAAGATACGGCAGTCAGTGGGAATGGTTAGAACAACCCTAGGCACAGGTATAAATTCGATTTTTTTCAAATATTCATTTTGTATAAAAACTACATGTAAGAAGCTTTTTCAATTAAATTGACATGATTTTTAAATTAAATAATTTTTTTTTATATAATACATGTAGACTTAATTGGTCTATATTCAAAGATCACCATGTTAGCAGGACATTCCAGATATACATCTTAAACAAGTAATATTTTTGCATTACACATGCAGGAATTCTGAGGCAATTTATTTGGAGGTGTAAATACTAACTACTAGCTTAGTATTATATACATTTTAATAAAAATAGATATGCTTATTTACTTGTATTTGTTATCACATGAAAAATGTAGTAGATATTAAACAATTGATTTTTTAATAGTAAATGTACATGTATGTTTTTTTATTCCAGGGGAAAAGATGAAGATGATTATTTCAAGTTTCACTTTTCAAACCCATTTAAAATTCTTCTTGACTGGTCAGACACAACACCACATAATGGCCAACCTCTGATGTAAAGAGAAATCATGGAAACATCAAGCCTACCTGTTTCTATTGTCTACAAAATTGCTATATAGCAGTCATTTTCTACATTTTGTTTATCTCTAAATACACATTTTGGATAATGTTTAGATGTAGATTCTTGCTTGATTAATAATTTGAAAAAAAAAAAACTGTTTTTAAAAGTAACGATAAAATTATACATATACATATGAATATGTGTATGTTTTTTGATTGTAAGAATATACATTAATGGTTTTATTTTTAATGGGGTGTTAATTTATGGTCAATCTAAATAATTCTAAATTTCTTTATCCAAATAAAATTGATATCTAAAGATTTGCATCTGGGAACAAGCAAAATTTAAATGGAGGAAATTAACATTAGCTTATCAAATTTCAAACCTGCTAAATTAATATCTACCTACCTATGCATGAAAAAGTAATATTTATAATTTATTTATTTTTTTGGTTGAAAAGTATCATTAGAGTTTTTATCCATTATCTTTTTCCATTTTTTATGTAGTATTTGAAAACATTGTTGTTTACTGAAATAAGTTCCAGTGAAAAGTTGAATGGCTAATTTTCTTTAGATTTTGAGTTACCTGCCCTTTGTAAAGGATCATAGAGAAACAATAATAATTCATTTAATTTTTTTTTATCTTATTTATTATCTTTAATAATATTTACTTATCATTCCGTTTGTCTTATCTATTCGTGAGAAAAATGTTTGGAAAAGAAATTTTATAAAACAACCAGAGTCTAGTAACATTTTGAACAAAATATTATTTGGCAAAATGCCAATTTTCGAAGTTAAAAATACCAAAAACGAAAAAAATCCCCACTCTACTTTTCATAAAAATTAACTAATATTATTATGGTGTTTCTAAAATTTCAGGTGATTTTTTCTTGAATTGCCTGCATTTCTTGAAAGACTTCCTGAAATATAGGGTAAAAACGACCATTTTCAAAATGCAAGAATTTGGTCATCTTTGAGCCATCAATTGAAGAATTTGCAGTGACTTGTAGATTTTTTTTTTTAATTGTGTTATATAGTGCTTCACTTGTTCTATTCATGTAATGTATGAATTATCTCAAAATAATAAAGATGATTAAACCACATGAAATCAAGTATATAGCATTTTTATGCTTGAATTGAGAGTAAATGGGGCAAAAATCTATATTAGCCCGTTACCATGGCAACCAAGGTAGTAACCTTAATTTTGAATGTTGATTATGTCATAATGTATCGGCATTAACCACCTGAAAAAGTTTCATGAAAATCGCTCATGGTGTGTGCCACAGCCCTACAGTAAAATTTTGGTCCTTACAGAGAATTGATGTTAAAATCTATTTGATCTCATTTTTTCACAGTGAACAAACAAATCCATGATAACTGTATACAAATTAATTATAATGATTAGTGTTTAAAACCTAGGTCCCACTAATATTTCAAACGTATCCCCAAAATGATAATTTGCATCTACATGTATTTCATTTAGATAGTGATATTGGAATCAGTGATGAATAACCCCCCCCCCCCCCCCGACGTAAAACTAAAATTCAAATACCAGTATATCAAATAGAGAAAATTATTTTTTTTATGCATAATAGAAATAGAGAAATGTTTTAACATAGAAAGTCAACCTTAAATAGTTCTAAATATATGTTGAAGAAAGTTAAGACGTACTTAAGTCACCTATACCGGCCGCCTAAGTTTTGCTAAGATTGTCAAATCTTAGCACGCTTCTAGTTACGGTCTTAAGTTTAAGACTGTACTTAAGTCCTACTTAAGCATGGTCTTAGACTTAAGTACCCTTTATGTTACGACCCCCTGCCGCCTAAGTTTTGCTAAGATTATCAAATCTTAGCACGCTTCTAGTTACGGTCTTAAGTTTAAGACTGTACTTAGGTCCTACTTAAGTATGGTCTTAGACTTAAGTACCCTTTATGTTACGAACCCCTGTTGTTTTAACTTCCCCTGTTATTGTTTAATTTTCTTGTCATTCAAAATATTTTAAAGCACTTTATTAAATTCGTTATCTAGGCATAAAGCAAGTGAGGTTTACGTCGGCCATATTTGTTTTGGACCCCGATGTAGCAGCAAATATAGGGCCAAGAAAAATAAAAACGGAATTGAAACAAAGTCCTGGGGCTCCTAACATAAAGTTTGCTAAGTTTTTGCCTTAGGTTGGGTTATAAGTATGACTTAAGAACAATCTTAGGACCTGTCTAAGTACTTCTTAAGCATGTCATAAACCGTAATATAAAACGAACTTAGCGAGGTGTTAGCTCGGTCAAACCTATGTTACCATATTTCTCATGAAGAACCCTGGTTTTTTTCCATTTTATTTACATACATTGCTAGAAATGATTGAGTTAAGGTTTTATATATATATATATATATATATATATATATATATATATATATATATATATATATATATATATATATATTGAAGTTGAGGTCCCTACATATGGACTCTAGTTAAGTTAGATTAGATTAAATTGTTTCAAAAATATCATTCTGTTAAAAATTATTTTTAATATTTAAAAATAAATATTGTACGTTCACAAAGTGCCAAAGGTTCAATGGAAATGCTCGACTTCTGTTTATCACTCGAGACTGCTATGATTTCAGTTACCTTTTGTTGTTATTCATTTGTTTTGACAAATGTTCACTCGCTTGGTCATTCTCGCAGACAAGGCAAAATAACCGAGCGTGTATCTACTTGAAATTGAACCTCTATTTAAACAAGAGGCCCAAGGGCCTTAACGGTCACCTGAGTACAATACAACAAAGTAGATGATCCATAAACTGATAGATGAAGCTTTATTGCCCAAAAGCAAGAAAAATACTTTGATTAGGATCAACAAAATAATTGCATGGTCTAATATCTCTCTATCCCCCCATTTATCACTATTACCATGCATAGTATTGCATACTATAAAAAATATCTATTTTTTAACCCTATATTATTACCTCTTACATTGGCCTCTCTTGACCTTTGAAGAACATTTAAAAAGATAGGTTCTCATTTTTATTCATATATTATTTCCAAATTTACCTTAACATTAAAACTATGCATGTACTTTTGTGTTATACAATAAATATTCTTGCATAGTTGTCTTATTCTATTATTTAAAGTGATTTATTATCAAAAGTGAATGGCAAAGGGGAATAACTTCGCTAATACAAATTAATAGAGCCTTGGCCAGGACCAGAACACTTGACTAAATGGTCCAGATGTTCAAAATTTTGGTAAAAATGTCTTTGCTTATGAAGATTTTTACTCTCTTTCTTTCCAATATGTCCAGGAGCAGAGAAGATTTTTCAGAGAAATAATGCATTTTCACCACAGTTTAACATAGCCCTACCCTTACACCAGAGCCCAGGACCCTGGGTCGTGAATTTATAAATTTGGAAGAGGAACCCTCATCATCATAAGTATGGAATTAGTTGAAGATTTTCAAAGAATTCAAACATTTGCACTATATTATCAGTAGCCCCCCTCCCTCCCATGGGTCATGAATCTCACAATTCTGGAAGAAAGCACCCTTGCTCATCATATCTATACACTTGTCTCTTTGCTTTGTAAATAGAAGTAGAAAATAAATACATTGAAAGAAATTGTATATTTCCAATATATAATCAATAGACCCCCCTTCACTAAAAACCCCGAACCCTAGGGCCATGAATTTCATAATTTTGGAAGAAGTATTATTGCTTATCATAACCATGCACTTCCTTTGTTTAAATGATACCCAGGAGCATGGAAGACGTTTTTTTTTTCAAAGATTTAATGCATTATTTCACTATATAATCAATAGAGTCCCGCCGTAACACTAGAACCCCGACACTGGATCCATGAAATTCACAATTTCTGAATAAGCAACCATGCTTAAAAAAATAAGGAGAACAGAAAAGGGGAAAGAGAACAAAAAGAATACAAACATCAACAACACTTTCCAATGGTATAAAAATATTCGAATGTTTACTAAAACCATCAGTACTTATATATACTTACCCTCGTTTGCCGTAGTTTGGTGTTTTACATATACGACATGCTCCAGCTACCAGACACTGATGTAAATTTCTTATACAACTATAAGGGCACTGACATTCTGCAATTAAAAATACATATTAAGTGATCTTATGCTTTCATCAATTAACTTTTTTTTGTATAACATTTACATTTACATTTTGTATAGTATTTACATTAACATTTTCATGTCATTAGTTTGATTTTAATACCTCCTAAAGTTACAATTATGATCTTAAGGAGGCTCTTTACACCACGTTTTGCTGACGTACTACACAAAAAATAAACCTCCATTGTTTCGTCCGTTTTCTCCTTGGGACGAATTGTACAGGTTCACTTTATTAATGATCTTAATCTTTGAAACGCTTTGAAAATAGACTAAACATGGGATGTTGTAAACAATGAAAAAAAAAGTAACGGATTCATTATGAATCATAAACGAAGAAGGGTTACTTTTAAGTAGAGACCAAAGAGAATGACAGTCAAACAATCGCTGCACAAGTTTATTCAATGTCGACATAGCGAAAGCAACGAACTTAACCATTGACAACATCTGGGATGTACGTATAGAGGAATATAATTGACTTGTGCTATTATAGTACTGTACTCCTGTTTATTTGTATACTTGTCTCTATGTTTTTAAAAATATATAATTACAGCGTATATACGCACTCTAGAAATTTTAGTCTTATTCTGAATTTTATATGTTCAAACATTCCTTAGTGTTTTGAGTCTTGGGGAATTAGGAAAGATAACTCTTGCAAGCGGAATTTTTATTCCAATTATTTTTTTTTTAATTCGAATTTTCATTTTCTTTAAAAAAAAAAAATTCATTCAATTTGTCACTTGTAATTCATTAACATACATTCCTTATCAAGTTATAACTGACTTTCCAAATCATTCATGCACAGATTAAAAAGAAAATTCACATTCATTCTTTTTTGGCAGAAATTTATTTTTTCTAATAAATACAATATTCAATATTATGAGATGTTGTCGTTTTGTTTACATATCTGAAGATGATATCAATCACTTGACACTGATACTTCTGCAATTCTATCAATAAGAAACTTGAAATACAACAATTAACCAAAATCAGAAAAAAAGGTTAAATTTTAAAATTTTGTTTAACTGGAAAAAATATTAATATTAAAAATTGATCAGGATCAAAGTCGCGAACAGTGGAGGTATGGATTTTTTAACTGATCAATTTGTGCACGAATTGTATATTTATTATCAAATATATTCAATTTGCAATTGTTGAGAGAATTTTTTACAAGTATCTGCACCGTAACGTACATTACAGGGTATGTATATACATATTCGTAATGCCGGTATGTTTTTGGACATATATTTTCTTAAATCATTAGTTTTTGTTGATGTTGTATAGCAGAATTTCGATGATGTCGTCATAAACTCGGATAGTCTATTTCTATATCATTTTATATCAATCCTCGATGATGTCGTCATAAACTCTGGTGGTCCATTTCTATATCAGTCCTCAGGTTTCAATTTTCATTGAACCACGTTTATTATGAACTTTAATACCCCCATGTTTATTTGAAGGAGGGGATGGGGTATTCGTGAGCTGAATATTTTCCTCATATCTTTATTTTACAGAATTTTATAGGCCTATTAAAATTTTTATTGTAAGAAGCTTCAGGTCAATGTTGATAAATTATGCTATTTTTAGTTGTAAATAATACAAGTTTCACTTCGATTGAAAAACCACATTTTCACAATACACATCAATAAAATCATGTATCTTTATCCTTTTGTAGCGTAACATATATGTATCAAACAAGAATTAGAAGATAGTTGTTTCTAAAGTATTAATTTAAAATAAGTAATCATAGTTGGAGAGGGAAAATCTAGTTTTCTATGAGATATTCATCAGGATCATCCTCTGATGAAAAGCTCTCGTTTTCAGTTGCTGTGCTTAATTAACGACCAGTTCAAACATAGGCAACTGCACTATAGAATCAGAAAGTTCATCTGAAAACATAATCACATTTATATCCATTAAAATGGATAAAATTGTCTACACTACATGTAGGCCTAATGCGTTATTTACATCAATGGGTCTTTATGACATCATAAAACCACAAAATCAAGAACGATAAGCAGGTAACAAATTTATCAAGTGCACAAGTTTACGCCTTCATTTCTCAGGGAAGCAAAGGCAATTTTTGTACTAAACGAAATTTGATATTCTTTCATGCCAATCTTTATGTTTAAAAATTAAAATCCTAGTGTTAAGAATCGTTTCGTATGACCTTTAAAAAATAACAAAAAATACTTATCGTTTCACATGTAATACCTCCATTTGGATATTTGAAATTTTCATAATAAGTTTTGCTGTAATGAAATCTAAAATAAACTGTACTGGTCACTAGGTATAATGAACCTCCTTAACCTCATTTCAGAAGGAATTAATTATTCCTGATGTGTCTTTAATTATTTCTATGATGCAGATTACATCAAATCAATTAATCAACTAACTAAATATTTAAACTTCAAAACAAGCATATTTTGTATATTGTTGAGCATTTTGTCACTATCTAAATACAACAGCTCAAACATTTGATTGTAAAACAGTTGAATTATTCACAAAAAATCTTGCAAAAACTTTTATTTTGAGTAAAAGCTTACTAGAACGATATTTTCCCAAAAATAACAAATCTCTTCCTCTTGCAAGAGCTGTCATGCCACTCTTAAGAAAAATCTTAAGATAAACGGTAAGCTTAAGATTTTTTGTGAATAGAAATATTTTCATGCAGTCTGTAGTTAGCTGGACATTTTTTGGCAATATCTGAAGAGTGTTCAGAAAATATTTCTGTGACATATGAGAGTAGCTGTATTATATATTGAATGCTGAGAATCTGTGACTTTCGGTTAAATTTTTACACGGAAAGCCCATTGCCCCCATGTCAAAAGAACAGGTACTAGTAAATATATAAGATTATCTGATCTGAACCAGCCAAATTTTTACCCATAATCTCCTTCTCCATACTGGAAACTACTATCTTTAATGACAGAGTTATCATGGAAGGTAATAAAAACTAATATAAAGTATGTATTATAAAGTAAAACTATTACTGCTGTGGAATCATCATTGTCCGCGGGGTTCAATGTTCGTGGACTTCGATGGCTATCCGTACCCACGAATTTATATCCGCACCAAGAATTATTCACAATAGAGTTATTTATTCCTATAATACACACAAGCTAACAACGAAATTTCATCTCCACGAATCAGGAAAATTTTTGTTTTCCACGAACAAAATGTTCCTCACGAATAAAGATTATTCTACAGTATATTTATAGATAAGACTATTAACTATATTTTTTCTCGAAGAATTCTTTAAAAAAAATTGTTCGGTTTTCATTGTTTCTTTTGTCTCACAATACAGAACATACACAATCACATAATAAACAATGACTTCTGAAATAAAAAAAAAATATTGCAATTGTGGAATTTGTTTAGTTTTTCACTTCTATATGAAAAAAAGAAAATTCTTGATGTGGACTTTAATTAGATAACGACTTTTATCAATGAACAATAGTTACTTTCATTCATATGTCGACTTGATGTATCCCAGCGAACTCCAAGTAAAACACATCACAGAGTCTGTAACATCTGTTTTATATTTGGATGTTTTGCTGGTTATAGACGTAAATGGCCAACAAACAACTAAACTATATGTCACTAATGATGACTTAAGTTTTTTCGTCGTCAACTCTTTCATATGGTTTTTAATTGATCTCAACTGAGTTGGTGCGCAAGGGCGTGTTATGAATACGATCATTTCTTTTAGGCGAAACAGGCTACTGACAAATTAATGTTATAAAGCTTTCAAAAATCTCGTTTAAAGTAATCATGTCGCAAATTTTATGGTCGATACGAGAGTCATACAAGAAGTAATGCAACATAGGGTTTATCATAATAAATATAGAAGCAGTTTTTTTAATAAAAAAAATTCACAGTCGAAAAGTTCTATTAATGAACTCATAATCACCGAAAACCGCATGCATAACCTACTGTGAAATTCACTTTAAAAATAAGCAGTCACTATACTGAGTTGACTACTGTTTAATAATGATCTCTGCCAAGAAGATGAAAATGAGAGCATATGTGAACACTGTACTTAATTACAACAATCACTGAAGAACCAATATTAAAGATATGGTTTTGATAGGGGGAAAGACTAGTCTTTTACGCTGAATAGTTTTCAGATAGATTAAGAAATTCAAAAATAAAACAGGAGAGTTAAAAGATTGCAGTCGAATTGGTCTATCGAAATCTGTAATCCAAAAAATATCGATTCTATGAGCAACACGAGGTTCTGGCAAAGGAAATGAAGCTAAAAACATTTCTTTTCGAAGGGTGCCTTATTTTCTTACAGATACCTAGTGCTGTGCAAGTGGTCTGTTTAAAAAACATTTTAACGAAAAAGAAGGAATGATCAAGTTGGGTAATGGATGACAAAACAAAGGGTGCGTTTTTTATAGCCAGAAAGGAAGATCAATGATAAAATGTGGAATCAGAGAGAAAGCTGTCGTTCTATATTTCCAAAGAGAAGCAATGGCTGCAAACATGTTATGCAGGTTTTTTTTACTCAAAAGGTCCAGTATACATCTACATACAACCAAAGGAAGAACCATCAATAGTAACATTTATGTTAAAATTGTACTAAGGAAAGTTATGCAGGTTTTCTGAAAAGAAAATCCAAAACCCGGTCCCTAGGGTAATTTTCCTGTACCTGACAACACTTCTGCAAATAAATATAGAGAAATAAAGGTAATTTTGAAGAGAGGACAGGTTACAGAGCTTCGCCATGGCCCGATTTAGCTAGATCCCAGTCATTGTGATATTTTTTTTATTCCACAGAACGCAAGAAAACAATCAAAGGAAAACTTTCTTTTCAACTTCAGATATGACATAGGTAGTGCTATCCATCTGTGTCTTTTGAGTATCCCAGGGAGTGCTATCCATCTGTGTCTTTTGAGTATCCCCATGAATATCTTGAGGTGACCGTGTCCTGGTCATGGTAACAAGGACTTAAGACATGTATCAAAGTT